CAGTGTCTGGGAGTCAGTGTCTCCATGTTGTTGATAATGGCTGTAGAACATCTGATGTTGCCTTAAAGAAGTCACTCACAATTCTTGTAGTGTACAGAACTTCACACGCATGATCAGAGATAAAAACAACATGATACAGCATGCAAATTATTCTTTTATTTCATTCGGGTTCGATCGTCAGATCAACGGCGCACATACACAGCAGTTTGATTCTCAGCACCGCATGTAGGATCAGGGTTGAGGGCAGACCCGATCACAGTCGCCGTTGATGGATCACCGAGTTTGAGAATGTGGTCCCTCGAGGTTGCCATTTCAACCACCGTGGTGTTGCTCACAGCCGGGCCGACTGTCACCACATATATCTCTGCCCTTGCTTTCAAAGCTTCAAGGATAAGGGTATATGATCTGATCAGGGTACATCAACCAGTGTCTTATGCCGACAAGAACACTATGTGCCTGATAGGGGTATATGATCTGATCAGGGTACATCAGCTAGTGTCTTATGCCGACAAGAACACTGTGTGCCTGATAGGGGTATATGATCTGATCAGGGTACATCAGCCAGTGTCTTATGTCGACAAGAACGACATATGTCTGATCAGTGTCTGTAAGACAGGGTCTCCATGTTGTTGATAACAATGGCTGCAAAACTCATAAGATAACAGATAAATGAAAACAGATAAAAACAATATGCTAAGGGCAACTTATTATTTTATTTTAGTCGGGACCCTCATTCACAGTTTGCTGCTCAGCACCGCATGTAGGATCAGGGTTGAGCGCAGAAGTGATCACAGTCGCCGTTGATGGATCACCGTATTTCAGAATGTGATCTGGCGAGGTTGCCATTTCCATCACTGTGCTGTTGCTCACAACCGGACCGACTGTCACCACATATATCTCGGCCCTTGCTTTCAAAGCTTCAAGGTCTTGTTCGAGACTGGTTTCGTCCTTGTAGATACCATCAGTGAAGAGCAAAACGATGTTGTCTGCATCAGCCCTGTCACCGTTGTGGTACGTGAAGACATCAGACACTGAGAGTTCTAAAGCGCCGGAGACGAGAGTTCCTCCGCCCTCCCGATGGCTAGCTGCTATAGCTTTCATAACATCCACGCGGTTGTTATAGGTATTCAAATGAAAACCCACCTTGGCCGTTTTGGCGAAAGACAAAAACGCAACATTGTTGCCCTTTTGGCCGATATCTAGGTATCTGAAAATGTTGATGATGAAATACTTCATCATCATGTAATTATTACTGTTCATGACGGACGAAGATACATCCTCTATGACCAGGATATCCAGGGGACCAGGGCGGCATTCTGCAAGCAGGAAGGTTTATCTGAAGCGTACGTCACTGTAATATGCTAATGATAGTGCTTACACCATTGTTACATGGATGATACACCATTGTTACATGGATGATACACCATTGTTACATGGGTGATACACAATTGTTACATGGATGATACACAATTGTTACATGGATGATACACCATTGTTACATGGATGATACACCATTGTTACATGGATGATACACAATTGTTACATGGATGATACACCATTGTTACATGGATGATACACAATTGTTACATGGATGATACACAATTGTTACATGCATGATACACCATTGTTACATGGATGATACACAATTGTTACATGGATGATACACCATTGTTACATGGCTGATGCACAATTGTTTCATGGATGATACACCATTGTAATATGTGACTGATGGAACATAACATATTGTTATTTGGATCGTAGACCATTGTTAAATAGAGTGTACACCACTGTTGTATGCCATTGTCACATGGATAAGACACCACTGTTACATGGGTGATACACCACTGTTACATGGATGATACGCCATTGCTACATAGACCGTAAACTATTGTTACATGGGTGATACACCATTGTTACATTGATGATACATCATTGTTACATGGATGATACACCATTGTAATGTGGGTGATACACCATTGTAATATGGGTGATACACCATTTTTACATGGATGATACACCACTGTAATATGGGTGATACGCCATTGTTACATGGATGATACACCATCGTAATATGGGTGATACACCACTGTTGCATGGATGTTAAACAACTGTTACGTGGATGATACACCACTGTTCCAAGGATGATACACCACTGTTACATAGACCATACACCATTGTAACATGGGTGAAACACCACTGTTACATGGATGATAGACCACTGTTACATGGACGATACACTATTGTTACATGAATTATCCTCCAGTGTTACATTGATATCTAAGTAATCCTTACCAAAACAATAATTAATAGCATTCCAAGAGGGAACTCGGAGAGTAAAAACTCTCGTGTTTGCGCAAGTCCTTGTCATGGCGATATATGGGGAAAAGCAGGTAGAGTAAACAGATTCTTCGCACATGAATTCGACGTTGCCCCATCTTCCTGCAAGATTAAATGAGTGAATGAGTGAAGTCTGCAATATCCAACATGTAGACATGATAAGCCTAAGGGGTGATATCAACAACTTAGTCCACGCGGCTCGGGTATGATTCCAAACTCCGCAATTTAGTCGCCTTTTTCAACATTTGCAGGTTGTCATACTCAGCTCTCCGACAACAGGAGGACAATCTGTTCGTCATGGTGACCTCATCACACTACTGACTGACTGAGTTTGGTTTTACGCCCCTTTAGCAATATTCCAGCAACATCACGGGGAGGGGACACCAGAAATGGGCTTCACACATTGTGCCCATGTGGGGATTCGAACCCGGCGTGACGAGCCAACGCTTTAACCACTAGGCTACCCTCCGCCCCCTGATGACACTAATTGACAGTGTGAAAGTGTTTGCTGTTTAATGGCGCTCTCAACAATATTCCAGCCATACGATGGAGTGAGTGAGTTAAAAGTTTACGTCACATCGGCATTATTTCAACCCTATAGCGACGAGAAAAAGTTTGCACATTTCCACAAGTCCATTTTAATCACAACGTTTGAAGGAATTAAAATACTTATCTTAAAATACATATTCTTTTCTACGGTATTGTTCACAAACAGGAAACGTCACAGCTCCAAAGTTAAAAACAAGTCTTTTGTCATACACATACATAGTTTATGGAACAGAGCAATTTCTTTTAAGTAGTTAACAACGAGATGGCTGCAATATGACTATGGGCTTTTAAAACCTGAGTCTTGACCAGGCAGTCCAGTGATTGATGTCCGATCCAGGTCGCCGGGTACAGTGACTCGCTGGCAACCAAGTCAGCGGGACTGACCTCCCTATTTATGAAGTCGCTTTTACGACAAGCACAGGTTGCCACACCCTATCATTATCTGGCAATGCACTGGTTTCTTATGACGGGCAAGGTACATATGAACCATAACAGAAATCAGTCGTCTTTCCATTTTCATATAGTTAACATCTAATCTGCACATGTGGTGGTGTGTGGTCCTGGGCGTAAATCTCAGGACACAAATCAACGTTGACCTTGGACTGTCCTTGGATGGGTGACCGTGTTTGGCAGAGTTTCTAGGACATCAAGCCCCACGATGAAGCACATGTGGTAGATGTGGTCTCACCTTAGGTAAGTGTGTTTGTTCAAAATTGCCTCTGTTAACCCAGCAGAAAATGGGTACCCGGTGAGATAAGTCATGTGGCAATTAACCTTCTAGCGCCTAACAGGCAGCTTGGGTTATCCGGGGTATTAATAATAATCAGATTCTGATTACAGCTTCCAGTGAGCAACTAGTGATATGGATACCAGGCTCTATATAAATAAATTATTAGAATTATCATATAATGTAGAGTGTTACAATACAATTATAGGACTGTCAAACTGACAACATTAAATTAATCAGATACTTGAAATAATCAAACACATATGATAGTCGACATATATGCATATTTTACCAGCCTGATAGTCGAACTTTATGTAACCAAAGCTTTTCTCTACACATGATAGCCGACCTTTATGTCACCAACCCTTTCTCTACAGATGACAGCAGACCTTTATGTTACAAACCAGTTCTCGAGACCTGATAGTCGACCTTTATGTTATCAGCCTGTTCTCTACATATGATAGCCGACCTTTATGTCACCAACCAGTTCTCTACACATGACAGCCGACCTTTATCTTACAAACCTGTTCTCGAGACCTGATAGTCGACCTTTATGTTACCAACCTGTTCTCTACATATGATAGTCGACCTTTATGTTACCAACCTGTTCTCTACATATGATAGTCGACACAACTACTTTCTCGTTACCGTCCTGCGCTCCACATATTTCATAGAGATACGAACTGTATTGTTGGTACCCACCTCTACTCCACACTGGACTCTTGGTTCCACAAGAGGGGATACTTGGCACACGATTAAGCGGTTTCATTCCTTTAGGAACACTGTACCACCCAGCCACGAGGTACGCGTCACTGACTTTGCCGACCACGTGGTTAGAAGGCAGTCGTTCATCCATTCTAGGTAAGGGTGTGCTGATGCTGCATGGATCTTCAAAGAGAAGTTTAACAAAAACAATTGTGAGTGTTGGAACATTGGATGGACCTCAAACAACGTTAAGCCACACGACTATAAGATCACACATATATATTCAGAATCTCTAACACAGCTGTTTTATCAACCGATCGTGTTTACCCCACAGTAGACCAGCAATACGACGGTGGCGTGTAAACAATTGAATCTTGAACCAGACAATTGGGTGATGAATATTGCGAGCAACGATTGACGCTGTCAGAATACGATGTCACGCATTGAACCGAGTTACCTGACCCCGAACCTTTTGGCCGCCTGTTCAGACAAGCAGGCAATGCTGAAGATGGGGCAGCTTCTCATTACTATGTGGATCAACAATCGAGTCTGGAACCTGATAATTGGGTGATCAATATTGCGAGCAACGATTGGCGGAATACGATCGCAATGAACCAAGTTCTGGTTGCTTGTAATCTCTATGGACATATAAAAACTCGAAATTGCGAGAGAAGAAAAAGAATAAGGAGATAATATTTGAAATTTCGAATTTTCGAAAGAAATTTTAAGTAACAAGAAAATAATCGAAGCAACGAGAAAGTACTCAACATTACGAGAAGATAATTAAATGGGCCAAAAAATTGATATCGCTAGTTCGTTAACAAAGTAATTTATTCCATGGAAGTAGTCCCAAGTGGAGTAATTTTAGACCTAATTTTTACGAATACAAAATCGAAGACAAGTATATGAGCCAAACGATACATTTCACGATACATAATTCACAATACGATACGTATCATGATACGCATATTTCCACCAAAACACGTGGAAATTTGATATAAATATTTCGGAGCCATTTCCCGAGGAAACGCTAGCTGTAGACGCATTTTAGTAGTGACGAATTGCACTGGTGTATCTGTCTTTCGCTTCACACTCGACCAAAAATATTAAATGTCGACCCTTAAAAAGAAGAAGTACCTACCTCCTTCACATGTTGGTCCAGAGTGGCCATATGGACACTGGCAAGAAAAGCCATCCCGTTCCTCTATGCATGTACCGCCATTTTTACAAAGATACCTAGCCGATTCACAGAATTTGGGCTCTGGAAGAATGACAACATAGACACTTGTGATGATATTGGCAAAATGATTATTGAATGCTGCATAACTGTGAAGATTAATTTCACAATCTCCTACTGGAAGCTAGAAGTTAGAAATTATGAATAATGCATGGTGTTAATTCTAGTCGGTGAGAAATAATATTCTGTGTAACTAGAATTTAAGAGGAAAGATGCCGAAAAACATGCCAAATGTCAGCTCTACCCAAAAGTCTTCACTCAAGTCACTGTATTGTTCAGACAAATTTGTACCACTTTGCGACGGCATGACGTCATATTGTATTATTTACAACAATTCTGTGACATCATATGGCTCCAACTGACCTTTCAGCAGGTAGAATCGCAAAACTACTCATGAGCAAAAACATGATCAGTCTACCCTGGCAGGAAATATAGCCCAGTTACTTCACAGATTGAAAGGCTGTTGAATCTTTACTAGTGAATATGTTGGACAAGTTGATCTGAAGCAGTCCACTGTATCGTGGATAGATCAGTGTGATGAGATCTGACAGTTCAAATTATGTAACACTGTGATATCAGACTCATGCACTGTATATTAAGAATGGGAAATACTCCAAGATACAGATTTAGGCCAACAAAATGACACCAATACCAACCAACCGCTCATCCATCTAACATGAAGGAAATTATGAAACATGAATTACAAGATCCCTAACAAACCTCAAACCAACAAACAGCCTGGCTCCATGCTTCCTCCCTCTTTTACCTACCAACCTGTTGTAAGTTTAATCAAAACACACACAAAAAAACAATTCAACAATAATTTTGAATTCAATGTTCTAAATACTATTACAGATGACGATGGCAATTTTGTTGCGCTTTCTGTTAATATTGATGAATTAAAGCATACTATTACTAGTATAAATGGACCTAATCATGATTGTCCAGCCTTTTCTCCACAATATTATGGATGCTGACGAAAAGTTTGAAGATGAAAAAAAAAATAGTACGTGAAGACTGGAATCTAGTACAAGATCAATCAACAGACACATACAACTACAAACACATAAACAATCCCAAGGCTAGACAAAAAGGTATTAGACCTAATGGAAGATCTGGATCTTAAAGACCCTTGGAATGAACAAAAGTTTGGTGAAAGGAGACAGTCAACCCCTTTGAAACAAGCTAGACTTGTTTTCTTTTTAATCTCTCATCAAAGGCTATCAGCCATTAGACACTGTGATATATCACCTAGTTTAGGACCTGATCACTCCCTCGTACAATTATCACTCACACTTTCAAATATGCCTCGTGGCAGAAGCTTCTGGACATTTACCAATTCCTTACCGCATGATAGAAAATATGTGGAAATGATTAAATCCACAAAGAAATGTACACTATACAAAATCAATGATGAAAATAAGGATAATGACTTAACATATTGATGATAGATGACTATGGGAAACTCTACTATTAATGATTAGAGGAAAGACAATTTATTATGCCCCAACTCAAAACAAATTATGTTGCATCCAGAAAACAAGTTGGAATCACAATTAGTCCCCCTGGGAATCAGACAAGATAAATCAGATACAGACATAGCAAAAAATGATATGCTAAAAGAGATTAACAAATTAGGACTGATTTAGATGCCATCAATGGAAAGAAAATACAAGGGATGCTAGTGAGATCAAAGGCTAAATGCATAGAACAGGGTGAAAAACCAAGAAAATACTTCTTGAAACTTGAAGCCAGAAATTTCTTAAATAAATTCTTTGCAGAATTAGAAAAAGGTAATGGAACAGCCCTAAATGACCTTGCTACTCTATCAAAGGAGGTGAAATCTTTTTATGAAAAACTATACACAACAAGATGCAAGTCATATAGATCTAGATGAACTTTTAGACTGTCTGACTGAGTTTGGTTTTACGCCACTTTTAGCAATATTCCAGCTACATCACGGCGGGGGAACACTAGAAATGGGCTTCACACATTGTACCCATGTGGGGATTCGAACCCGGGTCTTCGGCGTGACGAGCCAACGCTTTAACCACTGGGCTACCTCACCGCCCCTGAACTTTTAGAAGATATTAGTAATGAACAAACAACTAGTATCGAAGGCGAATTAACAAGAGGTGAAATTTTGACAGCCTTAAAAGATATGAAAAAAGATAAAAGTCCAAGTCCTTGCGATTTTACAACAGAACATTTTTTGAATTGTCTTGGCGAATTATTGATTAAATCTCTGAATTTTACTTTTCAGCCTGGAAACTTATCTGTCTCCCAGACACAGGGACTTCTAACTTATATTCCAAAAGGAAATACGCCTAAGAGTTTTTTAAAGAACTGGCGACCCATCTCGCTTCTCCAAATATCATGTAAGGTTGCTGCTGCAACCATTGCCAACAGAATTAAGCCTATTCTCCAAATATCACCAATGAAGACCAAAGGGGCTTTATCGTTGGAAAATACATAGGAGAAGTAACTAGACTAATTTATGACCTGATGGAACATACCAAAGCATATCAAATCCCTGGACTACTCCTATTGATTGACTTTGGGAAAGCTTTTGACTCCGCTGACCTGAAAAATATTCTCAATGTTCTCAATTCCTATCACTTTGGACCAGATTTGATTCAATGGGTAAACCTTTTCTAACATGATATTGAATCTAGTGTATTGGTTAATGGCTTTGCATCACACTTCTTTAAAATAACCCGGGGCTGTCGTCAAGGGGTTTCTTCGTCGCCATATATATTTTTGGTTCGTGTACACATTTTGGCTTTAATGATAAAAAATAATAAGCATATAAGAGAAATAAAAATTGACACTATTGAATACATTATGTCACAATTTGCTGATGATACGACGATGACACTGGATAGTTCTGAAAGATGACTTAATGCTGCCTTAAATACATGACAATTCTTTGCAAGATTCTCCGGGTTAAAAAATAGTATAGAAGAAACAAAGCTCATTTGGATAGGATCAGAAAAGAGATCAAGACCGGTCTCCCACTGAAGTTACACTTTTAGGTATTCATTTATACATCGATTTAGAAAGTATGGTTGGACAAAATTATTTTGATCAATAGTCCCAAATTATGAAAAAAACTCACTCCCTTTGGAAGAAAGACAGTTTTGAAATCACTCCTTGTTTCCTAAATTAAATCACATATTTGCTACATTCCCAAATCCTCCAGATCATGTTTTAGTTAAACTTCGAAAGCTATGCTTTAGATTTATTTGGAAAGGAAACCCAGACAAGTTTAAAAGGGACATTATTACATCTCTGCCTAAACATGGTGGATTAAAGGTATCAAAGAGAAAATTGCTGCCCAAAAGCTTGGATGGATAAGAAAATTATTACATAAATCAAATAGGTGGGGTTATCTATTTTAAGAAATAGAACATGTGAAATTTACCTATGGTCTTTTGACATTGCATGCATACATGCATGCATGCATACATACATACATACATACATACATGCATACATACACACACACACACACACACACACACACACACACACACACACATACATACATACATACATACATACATACATACATACATACATACATACACAAAAATTAAAATCAGAAAACACAAGCCCAACAAAGAAGGAACAATATATAAAAACAAATAAATGAACAAGTAAATGTAATAAATATAAACCAAAATTAGACTGCGAAAACACAAGCCACACCAATCTAAAACTCTTTTTCAACATCTCTGTTAAATGATGCTTGGCATGAGATGCGTTTGCAAGTATTCGAGTCTGTACCCAAATCTCTTAATCAACTCTTAGGATCATAATGTTTTGTTAAGAACCAAACCTTTAATCTTTAAACGGAGACACAAGCGTGGGTTTGTTAAGATAAAATCTAACCGGATCTTCACATAGAGACACAAAGATGGGTTGCTGAAGACCAAATCTAACCAGATTTTTGACATGGAATCAAAAGCATGAGCTGATGAAGACCAAAAGTAACTGCATGTTCATATGAAGACAAAACCATGGGTTGCTGAAGACTAAATGTAACCTGATCTTCACACGGAGAGACACGCATGGGTTGTTGTATACCAGTGTAAGCCTGATATTCATAGGGAGAGACAAACATGGGGTGCTGAAGACCAAATATAAAAGGATCTTTCAATGAAGAGACAAGCATGGGTTACGGAAGACCAAATATAAGAGGATCTTTTACATGGAGAGACAAACATGGGTTGTTGAAGATCAAATATAAGAGGATTTTCTCATAGAGAGACAAACATGGGTTGTTGAAGACCAAATATAGGAGGATCTTTTACATGGAAAGACAAACATGGGTTGCTGAAGACCAAATATAAGAGGATCTTCACATGGAGAGACAAACGGGTTTGGTCCGACTGGAATGAGGGTATGATGGGGAGCAGCACGAGGCTGAATATGGTTTATAACATGTCTTATGTTGGTTGTTAAAACAAAGGATGCTACTCACTGAAACAGAAGGCACTCCCCTCTACTTCAGTTCTCAGTTCATATCTGTAGGCATTATGGCAGTATCCATTTTTTATCTCAAACTCCTTGAAGCACGTGTCATTTTCGTTCTGAACGCATACCACCGATATGCCAATTTTGCTGTCTGTAAAGATATAGACTCATGTGTATCGTAAAGTACCCATGAGATACAGTACAACCAGTAATTATTGAGAATTTAAAGATTGTAATCTTTTTTTGATTTTTTCACTCATTACTCACGTATTAAATGTGAATATTAGCAGAACATAACTTCAGATTCAAAGACAGGTGAACAGTTAGTATCTTGTCAAGTCACCATGGGCAGCAATGTAGGCTTTAATCAATGCGATTGCGGGCATACTACTGATCAAAGAAGTTGGAAAGTCGTGGTCCATGCTGTCCCAATATCGGGCCACCTCTTCTTTCATTTCAGCAATATTTCAGCAATACACAGAGGGGCGTTGCCCCTAACACAGATATGCCACCCCATACGTTAAATTTCGGACTGTACTTTGGGCGCTGATACAAAGGTTTTTCAGTTTGTTTGGTCCAGAATTTCAGTGTATTAGGAAACAGCCACACAGAACTTTCATCTGAGAAAATCGCATTGCCCCAGTTAAAATTTCTGTTAGCAATGTTCTAGCAATATCACGGCGGGGAACATCAGATATGGGCTTCACACATTGTACCCATGTGAGGAATCGAAGTCGGATTTTCGGTGTGACGAGTGAACGCTTTAACCACAAGGCTACCGTCCCATGAGGTCATAGTATCATTATTCGACAGTGCATTGTAAAATGCTACAGGTGGTGAGCATACTTGGAACCATGGGCTTCCTAATTTGCCTTCATATGAAGTAAGTTACAGATGATGTCTCAAGATACCTTTCTGCCAGATGGGATACTTTCCGCCACAATGTCCAACTCCAGGGGGATAGTCGAGAAGTGACCCAGCGAATGAGGGTTGATATAGTCCAGGTTGAAGCGTTGAATCGTCAATTGTCTGATTTCCTTTAAAGAATGGCCATCGCCTCACAATATCCTTAAGATAAATACGTTTTTGTGTGCAGGGATCTGAAACATATGAACATGTATGAGAAATGACAGTATACTGATTGATATATAAACGTCCACAAGAGGTGAGGTGAGGTGAGGTGAGGTGAGGCGGGTTGAGGTGAGGTGAGGTGAGGTGAAGTGAGGTGTGCTCCTTTAAATAGCACATATCCTATGATTAAAAACCTGTTAGATTAGCGGTGAGGTGAGGTGAGGTGAGGTGAGGTGAGGTGATAACGTTCATATCAGCGAACCTTTGTTTAGCCTGCATTTACCATTGTTTTCATATGTTTCTCACAACACCCGGCATCATCAATATTTGACACCGTTTAAGAAACACAAACTTTTTGAAAATGTCGGAATCAATGGACAATGAACAATTTTTACGATTTACGAAAAGTCAGTTTATTATCAGTAGATGTGAGTCACCTCTATATGGTTCGGCGCCCTCCTCTCCGCCCTCATCTCTGCTCTGGCCGGAACAAAAGGAGAACAGGAACACCATGAGCAGGATCCGCGGAATCATTTCCTGAAGAAATATAAGTGGAATGTAGCGCCATATCGGCAGTGTCTCTTCAACAGAGCCGAGAACTGTTATATTGATAAACATCTGTCACAAAGGACTGTAAAAACTAAGAATGTTGTTACATTTTTGTGCTCAAATACTAAAACACCCTAATACATCAATATTACATAAACACCATTACGCTACGAGCTATAGACAACAGAAGCTATTAGTACACCACCTTACTGGGGTTCTTTGGAACAAACAGTACTTCAGCTTCCTCAAGATTTACGCCACCCCTCAACATGCAGGCGATTGTTGAGAAATGGAGCCAATGGTTAAAACAAGCATGCATTTTACGATTAAAACAACGGAGGACAAAAAACTTAGAATGACATAGGATTTACATACCCTCTCAAGGGAACAATTATGATGAATAAAAGTCTATATACAGTCAAATCCCGATGAGTCGAATGCCAGTGTCTCGAATATTATGCATAACTCGAAGTACCTGTCGGTCCCGACCATTCCCTGTTATAGTTGTCATCATTTGAATACCGGTTGCACGAATTCGTCTCATAAATACACACGAGGACTCGAGAAGAAAATTTGGTCCCGTGAGATTCAAACAACAGCAATCTTGTATACATAAGCCGAAGTCAGTCAATGAGAAGTTGATTGGTGTAGCAAACTGATCCAATTAACAAACCAGCGCGGCTCACACCTTTCCGCCTTTGACGGGTGAGTTAGTGAGTTTTACGGAAATCACTGTCTGTGCTAATCAGACTGGAACTGATAAGGTGCCCCCTGTTAGTGATAGGGGAATCATTAGATAAACAAATGCTTTGGCGGATGAATTAGGACTGGATCATCTTTTTTTCTACCCTCATAGACATACCTATGTCTCGAATACATCGTTAAGTCGAATATATTGCTTGGTCCCAAGAGATTCGACTCATCGGGATTTGACTGTATATGCATTCAGAGTGTGACATTAGCTAATGACACGATCAGAATTAGTAGAGGAACATGAGACCCTAAGGCATTACTCTAAATGTAATCAACTAATAACCCCTTGAAGTCCGAAAGGTTCAGGGCATGTGAAAAACCACCCCATTTACCCGTAATAGGTATCATTTTGAACCCAACTATCCAGTTAAATGTACCATTTGAAACCAGGGTTATTTACCATTTCACACATCACTTTGCCCAGTTTAACTTATCATTTGAAACCTCTCATTACCTGGTTAATGTACCATTTGAAACCCGAACTTAATCATTTGAAACTCAGGTTGCTTTGGGAATAATCTGCAATTGCCTGACGTGACGAAAGAGAATGAGTTGTTTGATCGTTAGAAAATTGTTATTGTCTGTAATCACTGGACGAGTCTCAACCGCCATACCCACCTATTAATACACATTCTAAGATGCCAAGCGGTTAGAACAATCGAAAATAAAATACATTATCAGACAATAAAGGTATAGTTTTTGATGACGAAACAATTGAATGACTTTATCCCGTCACTGCGCCATTCTAGTGTGCCCCTCGTAATCGAACCATTTTACATTACGTCACAATGTAAGCATGACGTCATCGCAGCTAACATCACTGGTAGAAACATTACGTTTATGTTTTACGACGGTTAAAATGTGTCAATTCGACTCACAAGTGTTCAGCGACACGGTAACGTTCGCAATGTTTAAATTCCCACAATAGAATCGTGGAATGTCGCTTGACTAGTCAGCTTCATTTCATCAGATGTACTGATCAAAACTTATGACACATCAATAGAACAGCGCACCAGTTAGCCCTGTGCGAGCATTCTTAATTTACGTCATCGACACCGTCGTTTGTTTTCTGCCTTAGTTTAATCGTAATTATCCTTAGAAAGTCTTAAATTTGGCATCTTAGAAGAGAAATACAGTTCGCTCTACCGCCATGTATGGTGTAATAAAGTAACTTATTATAACGTTAAAGCACTCGGACGCAAGCGTCCTCGTACTTTAACTATAATAGTTCAGGGCGAAAGTTCGTTTTATTACACTATACATGGTGGTAGAGCGAACTGTATTTTTAAATAATATATTAAGACAGGGTAAACATGTACATAACAAGCTTGCATTTTATACTACCAGTCACTATCCGTCAATCGGTCACCAGCAACCGAAGTTAGGCCACCATAAAAAGGACCATGGTTAAAAACGATGGTAGATATAAACAAACATTCATTGACTTACAGGGTCTTGTTATACCATCACAGTTGTGAGGAAACCACTCACAGACGAAATATTCTCAAGGAAATGCCTCAGACACCTTCTCCCTTAACCTCAAATAGTCGCTTAGGTGTACAGTTAGGGTCAGTGGGTAGCCTAGTGGTTATAAAACATTCGCTCGTTACACCGAAAACCCGGCTTCGATTGCCTACATTGGTTCAATGTGAAGCCCATTTCTGGTCGCCCTCATTGTTGGAATATTGCTAAGACGGCACAAATCTATGAACACTCAGACAATCTGCAAGTAACCCACGTTGACAAAACATCATGTTAATCTCCTGACTGAGCAGAGCACCATCACCAACTTACCTTTAGCAGCAACATCGTGGACTGTATTGTCAGGGTGGGATACACCGGTATATATACAGGTCGCTTTTAATTACGATAGTGATGAAATGTCAGTTTGCCAAGGACAAAGCTAGATTCAGTGTCTCCATACTGCTGCCGTGGCACTTTCCACAAATTATTTTCGATTCTAAACGCCAATTATAGGAAAAACGTGTCACTTATTGCTTTACCAATCACACACGTGGTTCATGCCGAACTTTATTGCAAAGTATAATCGTTGTAGATGTTCGTCGTTGAATTAATTATCATACAAACGCCATTTCTCGGGAAAACGTGTCACTTATTGATTTTAATAATCGAACACACAGTTCATCAAGACCTTTATCAAAATGTATATATTTCTTGTAGGGTTCCTTCGTTGAATTAATTGCCATACAAAGTAATGAAATCGTGGAATGAATACGCTTAAGTTTGGAATTTCACATCGACAGGATGTCAGCATATTGTGACTACCTAATAGTGAGTGTAGTTTTACGCCGTTTGTAGCAATTTCTAAGGTTTATCACGCCGGGGACACCAATAATATGCCTCACGCATATTACCTATGCGGGAATCAAACCGGGTCTTTAGCGTGATGAGCGAACGCTTTACCCACTCGGCTACTCCAGTGCCCCTGACTGTGAAAAAAGTCACATACGTCTGATTTGGGCACTGGAGGCCAAGTTGTCTGAGGTTCCACAATTTGTGTTGCATCCCTTAGGCTTGCCAGAAACCACATAACAGATTATGTATTTAGTTTCAGCATCAGTCTGAGAGTGAGTGAGTGAGTTTAGATTTACGCCGCACTCAGCAATATTCCAGCTATATGACGGGTATCGGTATGAGACCTCCATCAGTATTGTACCCCGCTCCTGGTAAAACCAAGTGGTACATGTCTGAGACCTCCATCAGTATTGTACCATGCTCCTGGTAAAACCAAGTGGTACATGTCTGAGACCTCCATCAGTATTGTACCACGCTCCGCCCTGGTACAAACCAATTGTGCCAAGTGGTACATGCACCTACATTATTTCAACTTTGCTTTCTAATCTAATCTTTCACATCTAATGAAAACCGATTATTTTTGCTATTGAATTCATTTACTCACTTTCTCTCATAACATGGGTTCTTGAGTGAGTAGGAGTGAATTTTAAAATGTCACGTCGCATCTGCATTATTTCATCCATATAGCGACGAGATCGTGTCTGAACATATACACAAGCTAGACTTTAAGTACAAAGTTTAAAGGTGTTTCTTAAAATAAATATTTCTTCATTACAGTATTTTTAAAATTAGAAAAGGCAAATTTATTTTTGTCATGCACATTACATAGGTACGATCTATTTTGTAATCTCACCATTATCAAGCTTTGAAAGCAAGGGCCGAGATATATGTGGTGACAGTCGGTCCGGTTGTGAGCAACAGCACAGTGGTAGAAATGGCAACCTCGCCAGATCACATTCTGAAATACGGTGATCCATCAACAGCGACTGTGATCACTTCTGCCCTCAACCCTGATCCTACATGGGGTGCCAGCCAGCAGACTGTGTACGAGGGACGTTGATCCGACGATCGGAAACCCGACTGAAATAAAAAAGTAAGTTGCATACTGTATCATATTGTTTTTATCTTTGATTATGCGTTCTGACCACTGCAAGGAGACACTGATCAACTGATCAGGCACAAGGTGTTCTTGTCGACATGGAGACACTGATCAGGAGGTGTTCTTGTTGACATGAAGACACTGATCCGGCACAAAGGTGTTCTTGTCGACAAGGAGACACTGATCAGACACAAGTGTTCTTGTTGACATGGAGACACTGATCAGGCACAAGGTGTTCTTGTCGACATGGAGACACTGATCAGGCACAAGGTGTTCTTGTTGACATGGAGACACTGATCAGGCACAAGGTGTTCTTGTTGACATGGAGACACTGATCAGGCACAAGGTGTTCTTGTTGACATGGAGACACTGATCAGGCACAAGGTGTTCTTGTCGACATGGAGACACTGATCAGGCACAAGGTGTTCTTGTTGACATGGAGACACTGATCAGGCACATGGTGTTCTTGTCGACATGGAGACACTGATCAGGCACAAGGTGTTCTTGTTGACATGGAGACACTGATCAGACACAGTGTTCTTGTTGACATGGAGACACTGATCAGACACAGGTGTTCTTGTTGACATGGAGACACTGATCAGGCACAAGGTGTTCTTGTCGACATGGAGACACTGATCAGGCACAAGGTGTTCTTGTTGACATGGAGACACTGATCAGGCACATGGTGTTCTTGTTGACATGGAGACACTGATCAGGCACAGGTGTTGTTGTTGACATGGAGACACTGATCAGGCACATGGTGTTCTTGTCGACAGCATAAGTATTAATAGTGCACATTTATAATGCTGTCATTTTTCACGCTTGCAGCATGGTCAAGGCGCAACAATTAAAATGTACACAGGAAGCGATGATGACGAAGTTAGTATGATTCATAGAACTTGCGGAAAATATATGTTTTGAGACTCGATTTGAATGACTCAAACGTTGGAGAAGGTTTAAGGTCATAAGGAAAGAGTTCCACATATAGAGGGCATAATGTTCAAAAGATCTCTCACCAAAGCGCTTGAGTATGTACTGTGGCACTGTCCGTAGGTTCTGGTGTTGAGACCTTAGTTCCAGTGTTGGGACATAGGTTGATATCAGCTCTGAGATTGCTCATGCAGAGATTTGTACGTCAGACAGAGAATTTTGAACAGGATCCTTGCTCTTATTGGAAGCCAGTGGAGCTTCGTACAGAACAGAATCCCTGTGGGGTTTCTTTGAGGTGAGGGTCACGCTTTCTGCTATCGTATTATTCACCTTTTGAAGTTTGTCAAGGAACACATCAGGGAGTCCTACATAGAGGCTGTTACAGTAGTCGAGTCTACTCAGTATCAGGCATCTAGCTAGACAATTAGCAGCTTCCAAGGTGATCAAGGGACGAATGGTCCCAATCACTCGCAGATTCAAGTAGCAAGTCTTGCAGACGCTGTTAATCTTAGCTTCCACGGTGAGTGTTGGGTCCAGTAGGACACCAAGATCTTTGACAGTATATGCCACCTAGACTTCCATGTCTGAAACATTGAAGGTGTGTATGTCCACCTTTTGGAGCTGCCGCTTGGTTCTGAAAAGGATCTCTTGAGTTTTACCACTATTCAATTAGCGTCATCCAAGGGTTATACAAGGCTAAAAGAATACATTTTTATTGTAATTTATGTGAAGAGGTTATGGCAAGATGACCAAAAGGTGAAGAATGTACCGTAGTCACAGTGCGAAAAGGCAGTAAACGGTTTCCCTTCTAAACGTAGTTCCACTGAACATATTTATAGTCTACACTCTGCCATTAGTGACGGAAGTCGAAACGTCAGTCTACATATGTTTGTTTCATTGATATACAAAAAGCTTTTGACAAAGTAATAAGTTTGATATAAGCTGAGACAATTCAACTGCATAAATGCCGTCAGAACCGTGAAGTAGGTTCTTTTTAGGTGTTAACAGTAAGACTCCAAATACTGAAGTTAGCGGTGAAATGGGCTGGTGTTCAGCCTGTACTCAATTTTAATGTTTATATCTTATGATGCTTTTTATGATGTACAACATGTTACACTTTAATAAACAGTTGTCTTCATTTTCTTCTCTATAACTTAGGATATATATAGTCATTTAATCCCCTTTGATCTTGGTGCAACTATGTTGGCCATTTTTTTCTCTCACAGAACCATTTCAGAGGCCGTTCTCTCCTGCGCCATGGTGGCCTTGTTTTCTGACGATTTTGGGGGTCCATTTGTCATCTGCAAATTGCGATAATAAATGTTCAATCTCAAAAAGTTCCATATCCTTTACGTTTTTATTTCCCCTCAACATGTGTGCCAAACTTTCTGTGCAGATAAGGAAAAGATATGGTGAAAGTGGATCACCTTGTCTCCACCCTCTCGAAATATTCAAACTTTGACTGGAAAAAAACATTTACTAGAAGACATTATATCATTGTAAAATGTTTTAATCCAATGTGTAATAAAGGGTCCAAAATTAAATAAGTCCAGACGATTCTCAATAAATTTCCATTCAACAGAGTCAAAAGCTTTTCCAAAGTCGATTAGTATAAGGACACCTAGTAAGCTCATTTGTTTGGTGTATTCCATTATGTCTGCTACCAGTCTAGTGCAATCACCAACATACCTCCCTTTCACACATCCTTTTGTTTCCCCACTAATTATAGTTGGTAGTATACTTTTTATACGATATGCAATCGTTGCGGATGCTATTTTGTATGATATATTTAGTAAGGATATGGGTCTATAGGTTTTTATGTATTCTTAAGGTGTTTCCATTTTTGGTAAACATGTAATAAAGGCCTTGTTTTTGACTGACGGATAGTTCCCAATTTAGATACGCATAATTCAACGAGATTATAAAAAATGTATGAATATCCTTCCAAACGAATTTAAGCATTTCGGATATGTAACCAGAAAGTCAAGGGCGTTTGCTATTTTCGTATTTTTCAGAGCATTAAGAACTTCATCATATTGGAGTTCTCCTTCAAGTGATAGAGAATTTGTATTCGATGATTAGGGAATATTTGATTCTTCAAAGGGTCCTGAATTTTTATATCTTTTGAGCTTTGTCTAGAATAAAATTGTTTTGTAATAACAATGCACACGTTTAATGATATCCTCAGTATTGGTGAGTAGAGAAATATCATTATTCAGTTTTGTTATCGCTTTGTCAACGAATTTCTATTTTTTTCTCTTCTTTTTCTTGCCAGTTCGATTTAGCCCTAATCATAATTCCCTCCGTGTTTACTTTATTTATCTCTAACTGCCTGTCTTTAAGTTCATTTATCTCTTTAAGAGTATGTTCGTTTATTTGTCCTGATTTTTTATCATCTAACGAAATTTCCAGTTTCTCAAGTCAATCGTTAATTTCTTGTTCTTCTTTCAACCGTTCACGTTTCTTTATAGAGGAATATTTTAAAGTTGAACCTCGGATATTACACAAAAGTACTTTGAAGAACAGTTGGTCATCAATAGTTAAATGTTTTCCCCTTCTGCATCAACTCTACTGTATCATCAAATGTATCTCTGATAGATTTCGTAACTGCCAACATACTCTGGCTTATGTAACAAGCTATTCCAGAACCCACGTCCCTTTCCAGTCTTGTGAATTAGAGTTCTAGTTGTATCATTGAATGGTCAGATCTATAACCTGTCAGTATATCAGATTACATCTCAGATTTCTCGAGATTTTGAAGTCTAATCTGGCTTGTTTAAGAGGTTTCGATTTTCTCCAAGTGTATCTTTCTGTGTTCAAATTAGCTTCGCGCCAATGATCGTAAAGGTTAAGTCCTTCTAACATGTCGACGACAACATTTCTGGATTTGGATTATCAATGTGCTTGTAGTTTTATGTATCTATATCCTGATTTTGTACGAGATTAAATCGCCACACATTATATTGGTTTCACAATCAAGCTTGGTGATTAAATTCTCAATTCTATGAACGATGTTATTGAATTCAAACCAAATATTCAATGGACTATACCTGAAACCGCATTACTTACAACCTGTGTTGTTTGAGAATTATTTGCAATGCGACCTTTGAGGCGAATATGAAAAGCCTTTCGATGATTTTTAGATAGGAGATATTTTAAATTTTTGAGGATATTTTAAAGTTTGATGGATCCAGGTTGTCCTTCTTGAGGGAGAGGCTTGACAAGAGCTGACACTCTCTGGGAATGATCCACATTCAAGACTCTTGGTCGCGATGCTTGTGATACATGGAAGAAGTACATCCAAGTGCTTAAGAACAATGTCTGATGCAACAATGTTTGATCACGCCATATAAAGAATACTAGAAGTTTCACCTTCCTGAAGTATTGTATGACTGGGCATTTGAGGCCAGAAACACCCTGTGTCTGATCATTGTACATGAGGCATTGTACCCATGTCGAACAAGAACACACTGTGTATGATAAGTGCATACGAGGTATAGTACCCATGTCGACATAAACACCATGTATCTGATCAGTGTACATGAGGTATTGTACCCATGTCAACAAGAACACCCTGTGTCTGATCAGTGTACATGAGGCATTGTACCCATGTCGAACAAGAACACCCTGTGTATGATAAGTGCATACGAGGTATTGTACCCATGTCGACAAGAACACCATGTGTCTGATCAGTGTACATGAGGTATTGTACCCATGTCGAACAAGAACACACTGTGTATGATAAGTGCATACGAGGTATTGTACCCATGTCGACAAGAACACCATGTGTCTGATAAGTGTACATGAGGCATTGTACCCATGTCGAACAAGAACACACAGTGTATGATCAGTGTACATACGAGGTATTGTACCGATGTCGACAAGAACATCCTCTGATTTCATCATTGTACCCATGTCGAATTGTACCCATGTCGACAAGAACACCATGTGTCAAGATCAGTGTTACATGAGGTATTGTACCCATGTCGACAAGAATACCATGTATCTGATCAGTGTACATGAGGTATTGTACCCATGTCGACAAGAATACCATGTATCTGATCAGTGTACATGAGGTATTGTACCCATGTCGACAAGAATACCATGTATCGGATCAGTGTACATGAGGTATTGTACCTATGTCGAACAAGAACACACTGTGTCTGATCAGTGTACATAAGGTATTGTACCCATGTCGACAACAACACCATGTGTCTGATCAGTGTATATGAGGTATTGTACCCATGTCGAACAAGAACGCACTATGTCTGATCAATGTACATGAGGTATTGTACCCATGTCGACAAGAACACCATGTGTCTGATAAGTGCATGCGAGGTATTGTACCCATGTCAACAAGAACACACTGTGTCTGATCAGTGCACATGGGGTATTGTACCCATGTCAGCAAGAACACACCGTGTCTGATCAGTGTACATGAGGTAGTGTACCCATGTCGACAAGAACACCCTGTGTCTAATAAGTGCATACGAGGTATTGTACCGATGTCGAATAAGAACACACTGTGTATGATCTGTTGCAAAGGGTAAGGACGATGTAGCATTAGCCAGTAGCTCTGTCTGATTATAGCATATGAACCAATGTCGCATTGTCAACAAGAACACTCTGTGCCTGATAAGAGTATATGATCCGATCAGGGCACATCAGCCAGTCTCGTATGTCGACAGGAACACTGTGTGCCTGATAAGGGTATATGATCTGATCAGGGTACACCAGCCAGTGTCTTATGTCGACAAGAACAATGTGTGCCTGATAAGGGTATATGATCTGATCAGGGTACTTCAGCCAGTGTCTTATGTCGACAAGAACGACATGTGTCTGATCAGTGTCTGGAAGACAGCGTCTCCATGTTGTTGATAACAATGGCTGCAAAACTCATAAGATAACAGATAAATGAAAACAGATAAAACAATATGCTAAGTGCAACTTATTATTTTATTTTAGTCGGGTCCCTCATTCACAGTTTGCTGCTCAGCACCGCATGTAGGATCGGGGTTGAGTGCAGAAGTGATCACAGTCGCTGTTGATGGATCACCGTATTTCAGAATGTGATCTGGCGAGGTTGCCATTTCCACCACTGTGCTGTTGCTCACAACCGGACCGACTGTCACCACATATATCTCGGCCCTTGATTTCAAAGCTTCAAGGTCTTGTTCGAGACTGGTTTCGTCCTTGTAGATACCATCAGTGAAGAGCAAAACGATGTTGTCTGCATCAGCCCTGTCGCCGTTGTGGTACGTGAAGACATCAGACACTGAGAGTTCCAAAGCGCTGGAGACGAGCGTTCCTCCACCCTCCCATGGTTAGCTGCTATAGCTTTCATAACATCCATGCGGTTGTTATAGGTATTCAAATGAAAACCCACCTTGGCCGTTTTGGCGAAAGACAAAACGCAACATTGTTGCCCCTTTGGCCGATATCCAGGTATCTGAAAATGTTGATGATGAAATACTTCATCATCTTGTAATTATTACTGTTCATGATGGACGAAGATACATCCTCTATGACCAGGATATCCAGGGGACCAGGGCGGCATTCTGCAAGCAGGAAGGTTTATCTGAAGAATACGTCACTGTAATATGTTAATGATAGTGCTTACACCATTGTTACATGGATCATACACCATTGTTACATGGATGATACACCATTGTTACATGGATGATACACAACTGTTACATGGACGATACACCATTGTTACATGTAGCATACAACATTGTTACATCGATCGTACTCCATTATTACATGGACTGTACACTACTGTTACATCGGTTGTACACCACTGTTACATGGATGATACACCACTGTTACATGGGTGATACACCATTGTTACATGGATGATACACCATTGTTACATGAATGATACACCATGGTTACATGGATTGTTCACCACTGTTACATGGATTGTACACCATTGTTAAATGGTTGATACACAGTTGTTACATGGATGATACACAATTGTTACATGGATGATACACCAATGTTACATGGATGATACACACTGTTACGAGCGCCTTGAACATGCACTAGTCCGTGGATATGTGCGCCTATATAAATATCCTATAGTAATAATAAAACTAATAATAATTAGATGGATGATATACACATCGTACATGGATGATACACAAAACTTGCATGGATGATACACACATCGTACATGGATGATACACAAAACTTACATGGATGATACACAAATGTTACATAATGATACACCACTGTTACATAGCTGATACACCACTGTTACATAGATGATATACACATCTTACATGGATGATACAGCACTGTTTCATGGATGATTCACCACTGTTTAATAGATGATACACCTCTGTTACATAGATGATACATCACTGTTACATAGATGATACCCCACTGTTATGTAGATGATACACAAATATTACATGGATGATACACCACTGTTACATAGATGATACACCACTGTTACATGAATGATATACCACTGTTTCATGGATGATACACACTGTTACATGGATGATGCGCAGATCTTACATGGATGATGCACAAATCTTACATGGATGATACACAAATGTTACATGAATGATACACAAATGTAACATGGATGAAACACCATTGTTATATGGATGATACACCATTGTTACATGGTGATACACCATTGTCACATGGATGATATACAAATGTTACATGGATGAAACACCATTGTTACATGTTGATACACAAATGTTGCATTGACGATACAACATTGTTACGTGGGCCGTACACCATTATTTCTTGATCCTAATAAAGTATTGAGTTACGTTGGCTGTACACCATTATTTCTTGATTCTAATAAAGTATTTAGTTACGTGGGCCGTACACCATTATTTCTTGATCCTAATAAAGCATTTAGTTACGTGGGCCGTACACCATTATTTCTTGATCCTAATAAAGGATATAGTCACGTGGGCTGTACACCATTATTCTTGATCATAATAAAAGTATATAGTTACCTGGGCCGTACACCATCATTTCTTGATCATAACAAGGTATATAGTTACGACCCGTGAAGATCCGGGGTAGAATAGGTCTTCAGCAACCCATGTGCTTGCCATAAAAGGCGACTATCTTGTCGTAAGAGGCGACTAACGGGATCGATTGGTCAGTTTCGCTGACTTGGTTGACACATGTCATCGGTTCCCAATTGCGCAGATCGATGCTCATGCTGTTCATCACTGGATTGTCTGGTCCAGACTCGATTATTTACAGACCGCCGCCATATAGCTGGAATATTGCTGAGTGCGGCGTAAAACTAAACTCACTCACTCACTATATAGTTACGATGGGGCGTAACGCTACGAACGTTTGTGTATGGAGACTCTGACACATGCTCCACTAACACACTCAGCATACAATCTTATGTTGTATGACAATGTTTAGATTAT